ATGCCCGCCGCCCCGCCCGGGCACTGCCGGGGCACGGCTGAGCATCTCCGGCCGCTCCCGGGGGGCTGCCCGTGTCCCCGAGCGAGAGCCCCGAGAGGAGAGCAGCGCCGGGGCTCTGACCCCCACCGCCCTTCCATGTGCTGGCTCGGATCGCCGTGTGGCTACGGGCTGATCCTTCAACCCAGTAGCCCAAAGGCGGACGGGCGGAAAAAAAAAAATTTGAAAACGACCCATAGAAATTCCGAAAAGGCAGGGAACGTGTTGAAGTAATAATGCTGAGATGTGTCACACCAACACGCACTGCTCGGGGGCCTGTGACGCTCCTTCCCTTCTACCCATCGCTCCCATTTCTGCCGCTGTGTGAGCCTGCCCCGACGCTCATTGTCGCAACCTCGCACACGCTACGTGTTCAATTAGCGCCTGTCTGAGCCCCGTGTTACACACCAGGGAGACCTCCGGCAGAAATGTCGATAGTATTTGGAAAGGCGCTAATGCCTGGGAGGGAATGTGGGTCGCAGCCCTCTTCTGCAGGCTTTCTCAGAGCGCTCACACTTGAATGACATTGATATCTGCCCGGTCTCGATTTTATAAATCACCTCCGAACAACGGGGGCTTTGCAATGAGTCGCCTGCAGCCTGTAGGGCCGTGGGATCTTACCTAAGAGCATCTGATCTCCCCTCCTCCCGGTCCCCTCTGCTCACACATGAACCTCAGCCTGTTGATTGTATATATGTATGTACATATACACACACCTGGGCGGGGATCAAAACAAACTTTTAGGGAATACCTAATAAAAAGTGAGCATTGTCTCTCCCTAGAGGAAAGAAAAGGTGAGCAGCAGAAAAACAAAATGTTGACTTAGTAAAATAAGTTCTGCAGGGTGATATAAAGTATTTATTTTTGTTGTCGCATTTACACCCACTCCTTTTGGCCGCCGCTCCGTTTCCCTCCAGGTCTGGGGAGGTACACTTCTTCATTTTCCGTCTTCTTAACTTTCCTGAAAAGAAGAGTAAAGAAATTTTTTTCCATTTAAAGTGCAGCAAATAAACATTTTGTGTATCCACAGATAGTTTGTATCATCTGTACGAACAAATTACGGTACTCGGCCGTGCGTTTCTAGTAAAATATCCTGTATTCTGTTTACATTATGCCATTTCTGTTTGTAATTATTTTATTTTAATTTTATGTCACTTTTAACACAAGCCAGACCGGTTTTCCCTCCGTGTTTTGTACACAATGCTCTCTTTCTCGATAAGATGTTCTGTCCTATCTTTTCGCTTTTTTCTTTTTAAAAATGTTTATAGTTCCCCACGAGCAATTCTCCAATATTTCACTCTTGCATTTTAAGGACTTGTCCCTGTCTTGCTTTATTTGTTTGTGTGAAATTTAGTTTGAAAGGAGATCAGAGAGAGCAGGAGGGGTTTGTAATAAGAGAATGACCAAGTGACCTAAAGGCTGATTATATGTCATTAACTGGAGACTTGGTGTATCCAAATTACCAAAAAGACCTCACTCAGCCAGATCAATTACACCGAGATACGCACATAGGAATTGCCGTGCGGGCTGATGCTTGCAACAAGTGTGCAGCCGACGTTTGCAGCGCTGAGCAGCTGCATTTTCGGACGAGCCCGTGTGCCGCAGCCCATCCCGGGCAGGCGGGAGAGGGGTGCAGTGCAGCAGGTACGGCCCGGGGGACACCGGCAGGACGACACCGACATTTTGGGACGTGTAGTTAGGGCCAAATTGCAGCTAATTTTCACTGCTCCAGAGGGATTTTTCTCTTAAGCCAAGAGAGGTTACCTTTGATCTATGAAGGTTTCTTAAGCCCCAGCCTCGTTAAATGGAGACTTTCCATGAAGAATGACAATAGAAATGTTGGTTTTTGTTAACCTAAACACAAAACGATGCCAGTCCAGCTTTCTTCTTCCTCCACCGTCTGAATTTCAGATGCTGGACAACAAAATACTCGTTAATGAAGGCAATTACATTCGCAAACTATTTCATCAGAGTCGAGCTCCAGAGCAATTGAAGATGTTCTTTCCCGGGAATACAAACAAATATTACTTAGAAAAACAGCGTGTTTGTCTGTATGCGTGTGCGTGTTTATACATGCATGCATGTATAGGAGATGCAAATAACAATTCCAGTAAATAAAGACACACGGTGTTCGCTGCAGAATTTTGTAAGCTCTTTATTACTATTCTTCTGACGAAGAGGGGCTCTTGGTTGGAATTTTCTTTCCCTGATTCCTGTCCAGGGTCTAAATGCAACTCTGGATGCTCAGTCACAAATATAAGCAATCCTCGAATAATTGCTTGCACATGCAGTGGTAAAACGCGTAGGGTCCAGCGTTTACTGCCAATCATTGTGACTTGCGAAATGGTCAGTGTCTTGGGTTTTTCTCATCCCTGATCTTTTTTCTTTTTTTTCTTTTTTTCTCTTTTTTTTTCCCCTTTTTTTTTTTCCTTTTTTTTTTCCTTTTTTTTTTTTTTTTTTTTCTTTTTGTATACACAACGACTGCGAGATTTTCATGTTTGAAATATGTGGGCGTTCATTACCGATAATAGTAACGTAAACCAGGGTTCCTCCACCTCTAAGGGCAGCGACTAATTCGGGCCTGCTGGGCCCGATCCCGCCCTCTGCCCTGGGCGTTGAAATACAGGTTGTGTGAGCACAAGAGAGGGTGCAAGCCGGTCCCATTAGGCACAAGTCCTTTTCATTAACCCGCACTGACAGGTTGACCTCCAAATCATATTTCTCTCTTTTCAAAAATCCCTTTTCTTGCGTGTTTATGTCCTTTCACAAACTCCTAAGCGACGCCCCAGATACAGGATGCGTCTCATCCCTGGGACGCGGGATGCTCCAGCATCCCCGAGTCTATCCGAGAACGATACCCCTGTCTGATACGTTTGGTCCCGGGTCAATGACATCATGCACTCTAGAAATTCAAAGCCGTCTGGGCTTTTCAAGCCGTGCACCGGACGGTTGAGGGATGCGGTGGGCAGCCGGGAGAAAGGAGACGGGATCGGCACCCCGGTACTTAGGGAGCTGCGGGCAGGACAGACGCCGAGGGGGTTTCTCGGCCAGGGCAGCGCCTCAAAAGCAAAGGACGGGGCGCCCTTGGGGCGCTTTCGCGTGTCTGATTATTCCTTTGCTTTAATGAAAATTACGGAGGGAGATCCCGATGCTGCTGCACGGAGCAGGGATGGATAGGTCTGGCATCGGTACCGGGCACCTCAGCGGTGACTGAGGCTCCCGCCGCTGCCCTGTCGCCATAATCGTCCCACCGATTTCGGGCGCTCCTCCAAAGAAAGGTGCGGTAAAGAAGCAGACGAGCGGGCTCGCTGCCCAGGCACCGGTGAGGCGCCTCTCTGCCCCTGGCCTGCCCCCACAGGCTCTGGCCCGGTGTGGCCGCAGTGTTCCCAGTCAGCCAGCCCGGGAGTCCCCAGCAGATGTGTGTTTCCGACCACCCAGTGTCCGCACCTCTTCCTCGTTTCCATACCGTTTTCTCCGACCGATTCGGAGAAATTAGCTTAATTTGCAATTTAACTTAATTCACACAAGCCCGGGAGGGGGTGGGGGGAGGAGGGGGTAGCACAGCTCTGTTGTTCTGTTATCCCGACTCCCACCCTACTCTTGGCCCGGAGGAGAGGAGGGAGCTGGCGATAAGCGGCCCGGCGGCGACTGAGTGCCGGGGCCGGGCAGCGGGTGGCCCCGGCGGCGCTGAGCGGGCTCCGCTCCCCCGGAGCACCCAGCGGGGGGCAAGGGCAGCCCC